AGGGTTTAGGGTTTGCAGGGTTTATGGGTCATGGGTTGATGGGGCTCAAGATGTATAGGGCTTATGAATCGGAAAGGTTCCGTTCCATCAGCGCTTACAGGGCACGCAAACCCCAAACCCCCAAAGCTTCAACCCATTACATCGGCAGCTCGATGATTCGGGTCGTCTGAACTCACTTATATTTTCAGGGACACCAAAAAAGCGATGTTCTACGGAATAGAAGGAGTTCGGGAAAGCCATCACGGACCCAAAAGCCTCTCGGGATTCAAGTCGCATTTCGAACCCTAAACCCTAAACCGTGGGACTGGGATGGAATCCGGCGAGGCTTCCCGCAAAGCTACTGTCCTCCTCACTGCGGCGCAAACCATCCCTGGGCGTGAAAGGACCCAGGGAGCCCAACACCCCTTTAATTAGGGAATATAACTGGGTTGGCCTTTAAACCCTCTGAAAAATATTTATATAAAGGGCCCCTTATAAACCCAAATAGGGAAAATAAAAAATGTCCAAAAAAACAACCTAGATAACTTAATGATAACATTAAGCCCCCTGACCCTTGGGGGGGGGGGGGGGGTAGGTGTGCACGATCTTAAGTTCATGGCCCAAGCCTAGCAGGCCAACCATCAGCCAAAAGGGCATGTAATGTACAAGCATGATCGAGTATCCACTTTATTGTTTCTTAGGGTGTCTAATATAGGTATACGATGAATACACCAAAAACCCAAATCTAATTGTGTGGCCCCACCAAAGCTTTCAGCTTGAACTGAACTCTGCCCATGAAGCACTACTTTAAACTACCATGACCTAGTTTTGTGGTACGGTCGTAGCATAAGCCCTGATATCATAAAGACCCTACGGACAAAAAGGTTTCGCTCGTTTAAGGTAATGCCTAATGCAGGCTGTGCACAGAAACCCTCAAAACAAGCACTACGGATCATGATATAAATCCTGCACTACCCAATATGAGGAGAATATATATATATATATATATATATACCATATATCAAGATCAACAGTATGTACATGCCAAAACCCCGACGCGGTACTCCCAGTGGCAAGGTGGATCCCTACAGTAACCCCTCAAGCCCTAAATCCTAAACCCTATCTAAGTTTCTTTCAGGAGTCCCTGTTTAGATAACCACAAAACCCATCGTTTGTATACTCCTCTGGCTGGTTCTTACGAGTGAAGGGGGGAAATGGCGTATTTGGACTATTTCCCTATAGGCGACCTAAAACCTGAACCCTAAACTCTAATCCCTAAACTTCCTGAACCCTGAACTTCCTAAGCCCTAACCTCGAATCCCTAAACCCTAAACTTCCTCAGCCCTAACCTCTCATCCCTAAACCCTAAACTTCCTAAAC